GGCAGATTCTTTTATGAGAAGACCTTGAAACTACATAGCTGGCAAGTTAGACTGATACCATTAGCCCCAGGAAGCAGCAAATGGGTCTTGACAGGAATAGATCCTCACCCTGGAGTGGGCTTTGTTCAGCTGCTGGTAGGTGTGTCACCAAACTAAACTGGGGTCCACTCACCTGGGGCAGTAAAAGCAAACATCCACACTGAGACTGTAGTGGGAGAAAGGAGGACATTTATGTGCAGGGCGCCAAACAAGGAGAATCAGGCAACTCACGCTTAAGTCCCAACCTTTTTGATGGCTCACAAACAAGGATTTTCAAAGGCGGGGGCAAATTTCAGGAAAGCAGAGTTACAGGCAACATCATAAATCAATGCCTAGAAGTGATGCACTGCTTCGGCCTTAAAAGGTGGAAAATCCTCATGAGGGAGCTTACAGGTCATAGGTAGATTTAAAGATTCTCTGATTTGTGATAGATAAGGAAGCAAAGCTTCCTTACACAGCTAGGGGAGTAGAGAGGAATATTCAGGTCTGGCCTGTGGCCTTGACTCTCTCCAGTCCTCTCAGGAAGAAATTTAGAACAAAGAACGGAGGTCAGAGTTCAGTCCTCAGTTTCCCCTTTATAAGGTCTCCCTGTCAGTGGATCTATTAGGTGGGAATCTATGTTTCTGAAAAACAACTCAGGGACATATGTTAAGATGTTTTTAGTTTCTGTAGAGAATCAAACATCCTGTGACTCTAACTTCCTTGGCTATTTTTTTAAGCTATCATTACCTTCTTGTTTACAAGGTCACTCACTTGCTTTTTAGGGCTGGCTAGGTGCCTGGAATTTCTCTTGAAGGAACTGAAGGCTTTTCTTTATTTCCAGGTTGGGAGGCCCTGGCAGGCTTCTAAGAGAGGTTCCTCCTTTATCTCAGATGCAAATGCTCGGAGTGCTACAAAGAACTTGAATGGGAGGAACTGCAACCATGTGGACCACTGAGTCACATTTCTTTACACCGGAAAACGCACCGGCTCAAAATGTCCAACAATGGTCAGAGAGACATCCTCCTCAAAGGAAGAGTTCCATAGAAAATTAAAATAGCCAGTTGAAACATTGGGTGTATAAAGCAAGAGTTGGGAAACAAGCACGAAGGGTGGGCTTACACACCTTCATGAGTGTGCTCACACTTGACATGAGAGTATCCTCTCTTTTCCTGGTGGATCGGGGAAGGTGCTGGTGTGATCTACATATATTCCTTCGCATGGTGGGAGGACACTGGAATAATGACTGTAATTCACCTCAACTTGCTTTTCTCATCCCTGATGCAGTGGTCCCAGGACTAGGGATGCAAATAGAGTCCAGAAACAGGAATTATTCCTAAGCAAGAAACTGTAAATATATTTTATGTCCTTTATGTAATAATTCCTAAGGGCCTGGAGAAGTAGGTTGTGCCTTCACTGCACCTGGCAAATTTGGGACTAACACTGAATGCAGCTGTATTGCCTGGGGTCAGATAGCCACCCAGTTCTCTATCTGCATAACCCTCCCGTCTATGAACTGGAATGGATGATGCGAGACAATTGCTAGAACAGTATTTGTCCCTGCAGTCCAAGCCAGCACAGCAGCAGAGCCTAGCGTTCCTTCCAAAATTGTAAATGTTTAGTATAAATGAAGAGAAGGAGAAATAGTAGCTGAGAGTAAATGAATGAATAAATGGGTTATGTAGTGAGGAAAATCCCATGTTACAAGAACTACTCGAAAGAGGTATAAGTAAGAGAGAGTATTGTCTCTTAGCTCGATTTCACCAGATGCCTGAAAGGGTGCAGCCATATGTTGCTGAGACTATTCCTATTTTTGGACTGTACTGTGATAATTGTTAATGACCAAAGAGGATTCTGGTCATGTGCCAGGATCTTTTCACTGTTATGATTCTTCTGGCATAGGAGATCTGTGATTGGCCAGGCACAGTGGCTCATGCTTGTAATTCCATCAGTTTGGGAGGCAATGGTAGGAACATCATTTAAGGTCAGGATTTGAGACCAGCCTCTGCAAAATAGTGAGACCCATTCCTATAAAATATTTAAAAATTAGTTGGGCATCGTGGTGTGCACCTGTAATGCTATCTACTCAGCAGGCTGAGGCAGAAGGATCACTTGAGTCCAGGAATTCGAGGTTACAGTGATCTATGATTGTGCCACTGCATTCTACCCTGAGCAACAGAGCAAGAGATTAACTCTAAAATAAAATAATAAATATTATAAGAAGAGATAATGTGGTCAAAACCAGGGTGTGATCTGTGGTCCAATAAAAATATTTGCTCTTCGTCCCTGTTTCCTGACAACCATGTTCTAAAACATTTGCAATCTCCTCAGTGATAAACATGACTTCAATATGGCAATGAGATGACTGTGGGGCGAGGGGCTCCTAGATAGCTTCAGAATGGGGGCCGGTTGCCAGAAACACGAAGCAGCAATTAAAGGATTGGAACTTTTAGCCCCATCCCTAAAGTCTGGGAAGGAAAGAGAGGCTCGAGGTTGAGTTCAGTCACACAATGGCCGGTGATTTAATTAATCTTGCCAAACAATGAAATTTACATAGAAACTTCTAGAGATTGGGTTTCGGAGCGCTTCCCAGTTGGTGAGCACATCCGTGTGTCCACGTGCTGGGAGGGTGGTGAACTCCATCTCCATGGGAACAGAGGCTCCTGTGCTCAGAACCCTTCCAGGCCCTACCCTGTGCACCTCTTCATCTGGCTGCTCATTTGTATCCTTTATATTTGCTATGGTTTGAATGTTTCCCCAAAAAAGCATCTGTTGGATATTTCTTCCCGAATGCAACATTTTTAAGAAATAGGACCTTTGAGAGGTGATTGGACCATCAGAGCTCTGCCTTCATTAATGGATTAAGGCTCATCATAAAAGGACCTGAGGCTGTCACTTTGACCTCCTTTTCCCCCTACCTCTCATCCTCTCTTGCCCTTTTGTTTTCTACCAGATACAGTCTCTTGATCTGGGAATTCCCATCCTCCACAACATGAATGAAAGAAATTTCTGTTTGTTATAAGTTATCCAGTCTCAGGTGTTCTGCTATAGTGGCATAATTTAAACCAGAGGTCCCTAACCCCCGGGCTGCGGACTGGTACAAATTTCTGGCCTGGTAGGAATCAGACCGCACAGCAGGAGGTGATCGATGGGCGAGAGAGCATGAGCATGACCACCAGAGTTCCGCCTCCTGTCAGATCAGTGGGGGAATTAGATTCTCATAGAAGCACGAACCCTATTGTGAGCTCTGCATGGGAGAGATGTAGGTTGCATACTCCTTAGGAAAGACTAATGCCTGATCATCTGAGGTGCAACAGTTTCATCCAAAACCATTTCCCTCTGTCTTCTGCCACCTCCACTGGTCCATGGAAAAACTGTCTTCCGTGAAACCGGTCTCGGGTGCCAAAATGGTGGGGATTTAAGCTATAAAAATAAAAAAACTGCAATACTGAGTGTGAAAGGAAAGTAAAATTTCAGGACTCCAAATTCACTATACCAAAGGGAAAAGTTAAGTTTGGAGACTGAGTGATGGAAAAACTGCCTTTCTTTTGTTCCTAAACAAATAACTGCAAAGATAGAAGACCCCATATCTCCCCAGGTGGCCTCCCTCACAAACTGCTCACAAGATAATTCCTTGTGGGCCCCAACATCTTTACTCTTAAATGGAGTTTTGTTGAATTTCCCCCTGACAGTGTAAATTAACAGCTTGTCTTCACAGGTACAGGACAAAGACAAGACTAGACATCATCCCTTCACCCACTCGGTGACTTTTCTACCCAACGTTTACTTTATCTTATGTAAAATGCAGATTTACTGAGCACGAGATGAATGCATAGTTGACTGTTTTTTCCTCTCCTGGCTGCTCTTTCCCCTATGAATATTGCAGTCCTCAAAACCCTGTTAGGAAAAAGCATGGGCCACAGATGCTACAATGATTTGTGTCTCTGTTTCCAAGGTGCATCTTCAGCTCCGCAAAATAAACTTCTAAACTGAATGAGACCTGTCTCAGACGTTTTTTGGTTTACATGACTATAGCAACGTCCTGAGTTCTTTGAGTTAATTTAAGAATTATCAGTCCTTGGGAGGTGAGAGACCCCTGACTTTGCAGCCATGATAGACAGAAGTGCAGGTAACCTGGGACCCGATACTTGGGACTTGCATTTGAAGTGAGGACGGACTTGTGGGACTGAGCCCTTAAACCTGTGGAGCCCGAGGTGAACTCCAGGTAGTTAGTGTCAGAATGGAGTCAAACTCTAGGACTCCCAGCTGCTGTGGAGAATCAGAAATTTGGGTGGAGGAAAACCCCATCACCATCCCACAGAGAGAAACTTAGAGTAAGAGTAAGCAAGTACACCTCTATCTTTTTGGTCCCAGAGGAAAAGATAAACAAAATGTAAACATTTACTTCATGTCCCTAATCTGTTAAACACAGGTTACTACCAGCTGTTCATTGTCCAGACATGGAGTGGTCCTACTTCTAACCTAGAAGTTAGGATTTTTTAGGCCTTTGAGGGTGTCACGTAAAAACTAATAAATGTTAGAGATTCTCTCCCCAGAAGTATTTCCACACACAAGAAAATATAGCTATTAATATAAAACATCGGTGTGGACCCAGAACCTCTGAGGTCTTACAAACCTGGGTGTTTTAATCCTAGTAAGAGACAATGCTGAGGGAAGATGTTTGAATAATCATTTCATCATCACACAATGCCACTCCAATAATCTAGACTATAAACTGGGATAGACAAAAACTTGATGTAATAATCTATCCTCAAAGGAATGAGTGGAAATATGTTATTTATTAGTCTTGGCTCATTCAGCCACTGTGCGTGCCTACCAGGTACCAGATAAAGTTCTCTTCCTGGATCACTGCTCCAATAATTAAAATGTGTCACTTTTTCCCACCCCTCACACTCCAGCACTTGAACCCTCTTACTACACCAGAATTCCACACTGTCAATGAACAGAGTCAAACTCAGTAACATATTTGAAAAGATTAATTCTGAGCCAAAAATGAGGGACCACAGCCCATGACGCAGTCCTCAGGAGACCCTGAGAACATGTGCTCAAGGTGGTTGGGGCAAAGGTTGGTTTTATACATTTTAGGAACATATGAGACATCAATCAAATACATTTAAGCTATACATTGTTTCGATCCAGAAAGTTGGGACAATATGAAGCAAGCAAGGGTTGCGGGGTAGTGCTTCTGGGTTATAATTAGATTTTTAATTTTTCTGATTGGCAATTGGTTGAGTTACTATCAATAGAAAGGAACGTCTGGGTTATGATAAGAGGTTGTGGAGTCCCAAATTTTCTCATGCAGATGACGCCTCCAGGTGCCAGGCTTCAGAGAGAATAGATTGTAAATGTTTCTGATCAGATTGAAGGTCTGTGTTGATGGTAAATGCTGGTCAGCTTTTCCTGAATTTCAAAAGAGAAGACGGCATAATGAGGCATGTTCAACACCTGCTTCCCATGGTGGCCTCAGCCAGTCTTTCAAGTTAACTTTTGAGCACCCTGTCTGAGGGTGTCAATTGAGATGGTTAGGAGAGGGTGGCTTTGATGTTTTTTTTTGTTTACAACATGCAAAATGTTGAGAGCAGACCGACACCACCTCCCTCCCTGGATGAGGACAACACTCCAGTCACCCCTGCAGTTGATCATGGACATGAGTCTCAAGCTCCACCAGTCCGATGACCACCTGCTGAAGAGGTGTCATTGTCCTAGGTAAATACTAAGGGTTTGTCATCTCACACCAAGAAGATTAAGGACACTGACACATGAGCAGTGAATTTAGGAGCAAAGGGTTTAACAGGCAAAAGAAAGACAAAGGGGAACAGCTCTCTTCTTGTGAGAGAGAGGGACACCCAAAAGGGAATTCTGGCCTGGAATGGGAGTGCATCGGATTTTACAGGCAGGCTTGAGGAGATGGTGTCTGATTTATGTAGGGCCCACAGGTTGGTTGGACCAGGTGTGATATTTACAAAGTGCAAGTGGAAGGCTGTTCACCCCACCCTCATCCTATTATGCAAATGGACTTTCCACTTGGCCAGCGCCATGTTGTCTGCTCCTTACTGTAAGGAAGGAGCCTGGCAAACAGAAGGGAAGATGGAGTTGCCATTGTGAACATGCCAGGCCGTCTGGCAGTGGACACATGACCATGAGACCTTCTGGTTCTACCCCATACTGCACCACACACGCTGCCAGCTGATAGAGCAGTGGAATGTTCTCTTGAGGGTGCAACTGGGTTTTATCTTCAAGATCACATCCTATCAGGATGGGTAATGTCCTTCAGGATGAAGCATACACTTAGGTTATGCCAGCAGCTGTTACATGGTGCCAAGTCTCCAACAGGTAGAGTAAGTCTCTAACAACCAGTGGTGGAAGAATGAATGACTATACTCACCAGCACTTCCGGTAACACACGTGGGGTGTTGGTGCTTCCCATCCCCTCGACATACTCAGCTTGTCTAGGAGTTTGGGATCCCAGAGAAGGAAGTTCCTACCATGGAACAGAGCACAAGTTACATTACGTTTAGGGGTATGTTTTTTACCTGTTCAATTTGGGTTCCTCAGGCTAGGAGGCTGTTGGGAAAAGAAGGGATTACTGTATAAGCAGGGATAATTGATCCTGATTATTATGAGGAACAGAACTTTAATTTCTGTCTTAATTTCTTGCTGAAACTGGTAACAGTGGTTGTGTCCAGGCAAGGAATTTGGAAGAAATGTGGATGAGGTGGAGGAGGAAATTTGCTTTTCACTCTATACACATTTTTATTATTATAATCTTTTAAATCTTTTTCTTGTAGTAGCCATTCAAAATAAATTTTAAATTACAAATCAACCTCACATTTATTAAAAAAATTTTTTATTTCAATAGTGTTTGGGGGAAAGGTAGTTTTTGGTTATGTGTGTGAGTTCTTTATCAGTGAATTCTGAGATTTTGGTGCACCATCACCTGAGCAGTGTACTCTGTACCCATTGTTGTCTTTTACACCTCACCCTATTCCCAAATTTCACCAACAAGTCCCTAGAGTCCATTAAGTCATTTTGTATATTTTTGTGATTTTTGCACATTGATTTTGTATCCTGAGACTTATTGAAGTTGCTTATCAGCTTCAGGAGATTTTGAGCTGAGATGATCAGGTTTTCTAAATGTGCAAAACTCACAAGCATTCTTATACACCAATAACAGACAAACAGAGAGCCAAATCATGAGTGAACTCCCATTCACAATTGCTTCAAAGAGAATAAAATACCTAGGAATCCAACTTACAAGGGATGTGAAGGACCTTTCCAAGGAGAACTACAAACCACTGCTCAATGATATACAAGAGGACACAAACAAATGGAAGAACATTCCATGCTCATGGATAGGAATAATCAATAGTGTGAAAATGACCATACTGCCCAAGGTAATTTATAGATTCAATGCCATCCCCATCAAGCTACCAATGACTTTCTTCACAGAATTGGAAAAAACTACTTTAAAGTTCATATGGAACCATAAATAGTCTGCATTGCCAAGACAATCCTAAGCCAAAAGAACAAAGCTGGAGACATCACGCTACCTGACTTCAAACTATACTACAAGGATACAGTAACCAAAACAGCATGGTACTGGTTCCAAAACAGAGATATAGACCAATGGAACAGAATAGAGCCCTCGGAAATAACACCACACATCTACAACCATCTGATCTCTGACAAACCTGACAAAAACAAGAAATGGGGAAAGGATTTCCTATTTAATAAATGGTGCTGGGAAAACTGGCTCGCCATATGTAGAAAGCTGAAACTGGATCCCTTCTTTACACCTATACAAAAATTAATTCAAGATGGATTAAAGACTTAAATGTTAGACTTAAAACCATTAAAACCCTAGAAGAAAACTTAGGCAATACCATTCAGGCCATAGGCATGGGCAAGGACTTCATGACTAAAACATCAGAAAGCAATAGCAACAAAAGCCAAAATTGACAAATGGGATCTAATTAAACTAAAGAGCTTCTGCACTGCAAAAGAAACTACCATCAGAGTGAACAGGCAACCTACAGAATGGGAGAAAATTTTTACAATCTACCCATCTGACAAAGAGCTAATATCCAGAATCTACAAAGAACTTAAACAAATTTACTAGAAAAAAATCAAACAACCCCATCAAAAAGTAGGCAAAGGATATGAACAGACACTTCTCAAAAGAAGACATTTATGCAGCCAACAGACACATGAAAAAAATGCTCATCATCACTGGCCATCAGAGAAATGCACATGAGATACCATTTCACACCAGTTAGAATGGCGATCATTAAGAAGTCAGGAAACAACAGGTGCTGGAGAGGATGTGGAGAAATAGGAACACGTTTACACTGTTGGTGGGACTGTAAACTAGTTCAACCATTGTGGAAGACAGTGTGGCAATTCCTCAAGGATCTAGAACTAGAAATATCACTTGACCCAACCATCCCATTACTGGGTATATACCCAAAAGATTATAAATCATGCTGCTATAAAGACACATGCACATGTATGTTTAACGCAGCACTATTCACAATAGCAAAGACTTGGAACCAACCCAAATGTCCATCAATGATAGACTGGATTAAGAAAATGTGGCACATACACACCATGGAACACTATGCAACCATAAAAAGGGATGAGTTCATTTCCTTTGTAGGGACATGGATGAAGCTAGAAACCATCATTCTGAGCAAACTATCGCAAGGACAGAAAACCAAACACCACATGTTCTCACTCATAGGTGGGAACTGAACAACAAGAACACTTGGACACAGGGTGGGCAACATCACACACTGGAGCCTGTCATGGGGTGGGGGGAGGGAGGAGGGATAGCTTTAGGAGATATATCTAACATAAATGACACCAACATGGCACATGTATACATATGTAACAAACCTGCATGTTGTGCACATGTACCCTAGAACTTAAAGTATAATTTAAAAAATGTTTAAAGTCTCCCATTATTATTATGTGGGAGTCTAAGTCTCTTTGTAGGTCTCTAAGGACTTGCTTTATGAATCTGGGTGCTCCTGTATTGGGTGCATATATATTTAGGATAGTTAGCTCTTCTTATTGAATTGATCCCTTAACCATTATGTAATGGCCTTCTTTCTCTCTTTAGATCTTCGTTGGTTTAAAGTCTATTTTATCAAAGACTAGGATTGCAACCCCTGCTTTTTTATGTTTTCTATTTGCTTGGTAGATCTTCCTCCATCCCTTTATTTTGAGCCTATGTGTGTCTCTGCACATGAGATGGGTCTCCTGAATACAGCACACTGATGGGTCTTGACTCTTTATCCAATTTTCCAGTCTGTGTCTTTTAATTGGAGCATTTAGCCCATTTACATTTAAGGTTAATATTGTTATGTGTGAATCTTATCCTGTTATTATGATGTTAGCTGGTTATTTTGTTCATTAGTTGATGCAGTTTCTTCCTAGCATTGATGGTCTTTACAATTTGCCATGTTTTTGCAGTGGCTGGTACCAGTTGTTCCTTTCCATGTTTACTGCTTTCTTCAGGAGCTCTTATAAAGCAGGCCTGTGGTGACAAAATCTCTCAGCATTTGTTTTTCTGTAAAGGCTTTTATTTCTCCTTCACTTATGAAGCTTAGTTTGGCTGGATATGAAATTCTGGGTTGAAAATTCTTCTCTTTAAGAGTGTTGAATATCGGTCCCCACTCTCTTCTGGCTTGTAGAGCTTCTGCTGAGAGATCCGCTGTTAGTCTGATGGGCTTCCCTTTATGGGTAACCCAACATTTTTCTCTGGTTGCCCTTAACATTTTTTCCTTCATTTCAACTTTGGTGAATCTGACAATTATGTGTCTTGGAGTTGCTCTTCTTGAGAAGTATCTTTGTGACATTCTCTGTATTTCCTGAATTTGAATGTTGGCCTGCCTCGCTAGGTTGGGGAAGTTCTCCTGGATAATATTCCAAAGAGTGTTTTCAAACTTGGTTCCATTCTCCCCATCACTTTCAGGTACACCAATCAGACATAGATTTGGTCTTTTCACATAGTCCCATATTTCTTGGAGGCTTTGTTTGTTTCTTTTTACTCTTTTTTCTCTAAACTTCTCTTCTCACTTCTTTTCATTCATTTGATTTTCAATCACTGATACCCTTTCTTCCACTTGATCAAATCAGCTAATGAAGCTTGCGCATGCATCACGTAGTTCTTGTGCCATGGTTTTCAGCTCCATCAGGTCATTTAAGGACTTCACTATACTGTTTATTCTAGTTAGCCATTCATCTAATCTTTTTTAAGGTTTTTAGTTTCTTTGTGATGGGTTCGAGCATCCTCTTTTAGTTTGGAGAAGTTTGTTATTACTGATCGTCTGAAGCCTTCTTCTCTCAACTCGTCAAAGCCATTCTCCAAACAGCTTTGTTCCGTTGCTGGTGAGGAGCTGCATTCCTTTGGAGGAGAAGAGGTGCTCTGATTTTTAGAATTTTCAGCTTTTCTGCTCTGGTTTCTCTCCATCTTTGTGGTTTTATATACCTTTGGTCTTTGATGATAGTGACCTACAGATGGGGTTTTGGTGTGGATGTCCTTTCTGTTTGTTAGTTTTCCTTCTAACATTCAGGATCTTCAGCTGCAGCTCCGTTGGAGTTTGCTCGAGGTCCACTCCAGACCCTGTTTGCCTGGGTATCACCAGCGGAAGCTGCAGAACAGCAAATATTGCAGAATGGCAAATGTTGCTGCCTGATCCTTCCTCTGGAAACTTCATCTCAGAGGGGCACCCCGTTGTATGAGGTGTCAATCGGCCCCCTACTGGGAGGTGTCTCCCAGTTAGGCTACTTAGGGGTCAGGGACCTACTTGAAGAGCCAGTCTGTCAGTTCTCAGATCTCAAACTCCATGCTGGGAGAACCACTACTCTCTTCAAAGCTGTCAGACAGGGACATTTAAGTCTGCAGAAGTTTCTGCTGCCTTTTGTTCAGCTATGCCCTGCCCCCAGAGGTGGGGTCTACAAAGACACACAGGCTTCCTTGAGCTGTGGTGGGCTCCACCCAGTTGGAGCTTCTCAGCCACTTTGTTTACCTACTCAAGCCTCAGCAATGGCGGACTCCCCTCCCCCAACCTCACTGCCACCTTGCAGTTTGATCTCAGACTGCTGTGCTAGCAGTGAGCAAGGATCTGTGGGTGTGAGACCCTCCGAGCCAGGCACAGGATATAATCTCCTGGTGTGCCATTTGCTAAGGCCACTGGAAAAGTATAGTATTAGGGTGGGAGTGTCCCGATTTTCCAGATACTGTCTGTCATGGCTTCCTTTGGCTAGGAAAGGGAATTCTCCAACCCCTTGCACTTCCCGGGTGAGGCAATGCCCTGTCCTGCTCCGTGGGCTGCACCTACTGTCTGACAACCCCTGTGAGATGAACCCAGTACCTCAGTTGCAAATGCAGAAATCACCCATCTTCTGCATCACTCACACTGGGAGCTGCAGACTGGAGCTGTTCCTATTTGGCCATCTTAACCTCCCACATCACACTTTCTTTAGCCACTGGTTGGTCAATGGGCACTTAGCTTGGTTCCATATCCTTGCAATTGTGAATTGTGTTGCTATAAACGTGTGTGCGCATGTGTCTTTTCCATATAATTACTTATTTATTTTCCTTTGGGTAGATACCCAGTAGTGGGATTGCTAGGTCAAATGGTAGATCTAGTTTTAGTTCTTTTTTTTTTTTTGAGACAGAGTCTCGCTCTGCCGCCCAGGCTGGAGTGCAGTGGCCGGATCTCAGCTCACTGCAAGCTCCGCCTCCCGGATTCACGCCATTCTCCTGCCTCAGCCTCCCGAGTAGTTGGGACTACAGGCACCTGCCACCTCGCCCGGCTAGTTTTTTGTATTTTTTAGTAGAGACGGGGTTTCACCGTGTTAGCCAGGATGGTCTCGATCTCCTGACCTCGTGATCCGCCCGTCTCGGCCTCCCAAAGTGCTGGGATTACAGGCTTGAGCCACCGCGCCGAGCCTAGTTTTAGTTCTTTAAGGAATTGCCATACTGCTTTCCACAGTGGTTGTACTAATTTACATTCTCACAACCAGCAGTGAAAAGTGTTCTCTCTTCACCACATCCATGCCAACATGTATTGTTTTCTAACTTTATAATTAATGCCATTTTTTTCTTTTTCTTTTCCTTTTTATTTATTTATTTATTTATTTTTGAGACAGAGTCTTGCTCTGTCTCCCAGGCTGGAGTGCAGTGGTGCCATCTCAGCTTACTGCAACCTCCACCTCCCAGGATCAAGCAACTCTCCTGCCTCAGCCTACTGAGTAGGTTCAACTATAGGCACATTCCCCACACCTGGATAATTTTTTGTATTTTGGTAGAGACAGGGTTTCACTAGTGTTAGCCAGGATGGTCTCAATCTCCTGACCTTGTTATCTGCCTGCCTTGGCCTCCCAAAATGCTGGGACTACAGGCTTGAGCCACCACTCAGCCAAATTAATGCCATTCTTGCATGTATAAGGTGGTATCTCATGGTGAAGTCCACATTTATTTAGCAAACATTTATTAGGCAGTTACTATGTGTCAGGCTCTCCTAGGCCTCAGTGAGTGAAACATCAAAGATTCCACAAGGGGACTCAAAAAACAGGTAAATGCAGGCTACTATAATAAGTGCGGGAAAACTGCTTCCAGGAGTATGCAATGTCTAAACAGAGAACTGGATGAGGAACACAGTTAATCCAGGTGAATGGCAGGAGAAATCTTTTAGGGAATCAGTATCACAAACAAAGGCTCGGAAGACAGAGCACACAGGAAGTCTGGGGGAACTGCCAGCAGTTCAGGGTGGAGATTAGAGAGAAAGGGGCGCAGGGGCCAAAAGCAAGCTTGGAGCAGTGAGCAGGTTCAACGACTAAGGCTTGTGGGGTTGGGGAGAACCTTGGCTTTTATCCAAGGACAATGTGCAGCATTGGCAGCACTGAAGTCAGGAAGAACCTTGATCAGATCTGCATTCCAGAAGAATCACTCCGGGTTAAGTGTGAAGAATGAACTGAGAGATGCATGGAGACTGGATACATGGAGAAGAAGAGGTTCGGGGAAACCCTGGCGGGAACTGTAGGGAGAATATTAGGATGGAGGAAAGGGTAGAAAGGACCCTGAGAGATCTGAGTGATCAAGATCCACTGTTTCACACATGGAAAATGAGGTGGAAAAGGAGAAAGGTCCCCATGTGAACAGCACCCCATCTGGAAAAATGACATAAAACAAGCAAATTTGGCCCATGACATAAGAGGTGCTTGGGCTCACATGGTATTGAGTGATCAGGGAGGAGTTTAGTTGAGTTCACCTCTACAGACAGGTATTGAGTGCCAGGTATGCTGTCATCAGGGACATAAGGAAATCAAAGGTATATGCCTTATATCTTTGTGACCTACATGTCTGGTCCTGCTTAAGAACTATGCCAATCCCCGACTTCCCAGGGCCCTGACTAATTTTGTCTTGTGTCCATGTGGGAAGGGAGCTGAGGCTTGGCAAGAGGATCTTAGCCCATATGGTCCAAAAAATAGTAGAAAGATTTCTTTAGAAGACACAAATTCCCTAATTAAATTGACTAATTTATCCATACAAGAGAAATAAAATCACTAAAAAATAAACTGAGTGAAGGAAAAGAAATCAACGAAGTATAATTACCAGAAGTTTGCGGGATTCTGCATGAAAACAAGCTTGAAGAAACAGTGAAAGCAGAAGATTTGCCTAACAGTATGACACTCGAATGAAAAAAAAACAGATAGGTTTAGTGGTGTTGCTTCTTTACAGATGCAGGAGGTTTGAAAACTAATAGAGAAAAATATTTGGAGAGAACTCCATCTTAGCTTTCACACAGAATGCAAGACCAGCCTTTCCAGTGGGCATCTCTTGATTTTTGTTTCCAGGGCTTTGATTTCATAAACACAGCTTAGTTCTACAGATCATCTGGCCCAGTCCGCGACCCAGGTTTGTAATGAGCTTGTTCAGTCATGGTCCAGCCTGTGTGTAGAGACCCTAAGATGATGCCTGGTGATCCTGTCTCGTGGCATCTCATTCAGCTGAGAGCCGGTGGGACCTAAACTTGCTTCTAAGCAACAGAATGTGGCAAAAATGATGCCACTTCTGTGACGAGGTCATAACAGCCCCACTCCCGTATTACTAGATGACTCTGTCTTCTGCCTTCTTTGTTTGCAAGTTTTGATGAAGCAGAAAGGCTTGTGTGGCAAGGAACTGAAGTCAGCCTCTGGCCACCAGCCAGTAAGGAACTGAGGCTGTCAGTCTAACAGGCATGGAGGAATGAATCCTGCCAACAATTGCTGGGGCTTGGAAGTGGATCCTTCCCCAGTTCAGCCTCCAGATAAGACCCAGCCATGGCATTCTGATGAAAATCATATGAGAAAGCTGCACAGCTGTGTCTGGATTCCTGACCCATAGAAATGTGGGATAATACATATGTGTTGTTGTGAGCTGCTAAGTTTGTGGCAATTTCTTATATGGAAATAGATAGCTGAAATCACTTCCCACAGCTTTCATTGAGTTAAGTGACCCTTGGGGCCAGTTAGAACTTCTCTCATCCCCTTCCCTGTGGCAGCCCTTATCTTTCTCCTAGGTTGACATCCCGCTTTCTCTTTACCAAACATCAAGTTCTCTTACTATCTCCATTGCTGTCCTCTCACATCATCCAGGAGGCCCCACTAGGGAGTGGCAGACAGAGAGGAGGAAGTTCCGTGGTCTGGGGTGTGGGTAGACTCCTCCTCATGGTTCAACCTTGAGTGCAGCTATTACCAGTTGGAAGAAGAGAGGTCAGGAATCATCAGGGATTGGAAGGAGATGAGTGAACACCCCACCGCTCTCAGGCCCATCCAGGCTGTGAAATAAAACAGTGATGAATAGACTCTACATGGCCCCCGCTGGTCTTTACCCTTCAGCATTCTAGATAGTGCACCTCGTATGCCATGATGCAAACACCACTGACTCCCTCCAGGGCAGATATAAATCTCCCTTTCCCCCGCATCCAGCAAGCACATTCCATCAGCCTATGGGTCACTTCAACCCCATGACTCCCCCGTCGGGACTGTGACAAATGCAATAGACTCTGGTCCAGTCTCTGTGCCCGGAGAAGAAAGGGAAGCTGGTCAGAGCCCACAGGCGGTGACCCACAGGGAGCCAGTAGATGGGTATGAGGGTGAATGTGAAAGGGCGGTCACTTGGGCTCAGCAGTCAGACTGTCTCCTTAGAGTCATGAGTCCCCCATTGACAGTTAAGAAACTTCCTAGCAACCTCAGTTTCCTTGTCTGAAAATGGGGCTGATAGCTGTCTCTAGGTCATAGGGCTCTTGTGAGGCTTAAATGATTTAATTCATGTAAATCCCTTAGGAACGTGACTGACACTTTTTTAAAGGCACAATTCTGTAAAAGAGTGGGACCCATCCATTTATGTCCTGTTTCCTTATTCCAAGTGTGATGAAACCAGCTCTCCCCAACACTTATCCTGACCCCCCTTCCGTGCCTGCCGGTGGAGAGCTGTTCTGTCCCTTACAACCTACAGTGTAGGGAGCAACCAGGTAAAGGCCAGGGTGGTGCCAAGTATGAGGAAGTCACAGAGTAACACACATACACATACATACATACCCATACCTGCTTATATACATAAATATGTACAGATACATACATATACGCACTTATAAACACACACATACCCACAGACGCCCATACCTGTTTATACATCCACATGTGCACTGACACACGCACATTACACACTTACAATTCATCAATTCAGTGTGGGGCCTGGGTAATTCCAATTCAATCTCTTTTAAGAAATTTAAGAATCTGAAAGAGAAAGACCTGAGAATTTTTGTCCCACAAGAGACAGACCCACTTCCCAGGCACTGTGGGACTTTCTGAGACCTATGTGGCCCTGCTCCTGGAAGCTCATGGAGAAGCGGGAAAATCTGACTTTAGATCAAGGTTCTGGAGCCCAAAGGCAGCCCCAGAAACTGGCCTTCCCTGGGTACCGGGCCTCCGGGAGTCCAGCAGGTCCCCTTCCTCCTATCTCACCGACGACGTCTCAGCCTGTCTTCCAAAGCCAGGGGCCCCTCCCAGGCTTTGCTGCACGGCAGGAGTCTCCACGGGGCTCCAGAAGGAACAGGAACAGAGTTTAACTCAAGCCCCTCGGGTGAGACACCCTCAGGTCCAGTTTTTTTGGTTCTAACATTAGTGATATCACTTTTCAGTCTTAAAATGTCTGTTTCTTTTCTGATTTGCAAAAAGGTTTATAACTTTTGATACGTCTGCTACGTTCTATTAGAACCTAGCAGTCCCGCGTGGTACTTTCATCCACTGTGTCTCTGCTGATTCCGTTTCCGGGTGTTTTATCTTCCGGTTGAGTTAAAGACTATGTGTAATTGTTGGGCACAGAGGACCAGGAAAGAAAAAGGTTCCCGGTGAAGCTGGACCCATGTAAGTCACTGTTGACAAGAGTAACTACTATCCTTTCCTGTTTACCTCCCTGCACTCCTTCTCTCTGTCCTCCCTCCCCACCCACCCTCGGGACAGCCTCAGGAGCCTGGGCCAGAATCCCCAACCCCGCAGTAGAAACGCTGAGGAGGAGGAGGAGGAGGAGGAGGAGGAGGAGGAGGAGGAGGAGGAGGAGGAGACTGTGTTCGGTCCCCTCGTTCCTCAAATATGGATGCCTCCAAGGAACATAATTTCAGCTCCGAGAGGTCCTGACGTGCGGCCCGGAGGACCCCAGTACCTGCCGGTAGTAGCGTCTCCTTGCCGTGCTCCAGGTGTCTGAACAACCACCTAATGCAGTGACCTATCAGGGCTTCCCTTGTGGCCTCCGCGGTCCAGAACCTCTCCCAAGTGCGCTGGATCCTCCAAGCCGCTTTTTGAGCCGCTGTCCAGGTCTGCAGGTCCTCGTTCAGGGACATGAAATCTCCCTGTCGTAGGTGGACTGAAAGTGTCCCCCGAGGAAGCTCCTGTCCGGAGTCACCACCCAGCTAGGCAGTAGCATCTGCAGGTGCGGTGCCCTGGACCTGCCCCAGGGGAGCCGGAGGCGGGGCCGGGGAGGGGAGAGAGGTCTCCCCGCCCACCCCAGCTCCTTCCTCCCTCTGTGATTGGTCACAGCACAAATCAGTCATGATCCAGATGGAAAGAGAAACCTGGAGCAAAAAGTCCCCAGCGCTTCCCCACCTTAGAGGGGTCAGCTGAGGTCCCGACCCCATCTCTGGGAGATCCGGGCTCGTACCTCTGGGGTCGGGGGTGCGGGGGCCACACCTGTGCCCGGAGTCTGAGGTCACTCACCGGCTGACCCTGGTGGTGGTGCCGGCCCAGGAACCTCAGGCCCCTCAGTAACACATTCCCTGCGGTCTTCGAGAACTTTCCTCAGGGCGCCCACAGCCCTGTCCCATCTTCTCCACCCGCGGCGCCCGCGGCTTCACGCTCTGATTCTCGTCGCGGCTGTAGAAGCTCAGGAACTGCGTGTCGCCCACGAAGGCACCGCTTGGGAGCTCAGGGCCCACACGGTGAAGGCGCAGCCCGACCGCCTTCAGGTACCCGGGGTGCGGGCCTGGGCTCCGGGAACCGACACGTTGCGGGCGGGAGAGGCGCAGGAAGCCTGGGACGCCGCCCCGCTCCCGTCGGGTCCCCACCCGCCCCTGTCTCTGGGACGCCCTCGCTCCGCCTCCCCGCGGGGCCCCAGCCTCCCGAGCTCCCTCCCACGTCCCCGCCCGGCACCGAAGCCGCTCACTTGGGAGCTTCTTACTGTGTCGGGGAAGGTGGGAAGGGGACAGAGGGACGGGAACCAGGGGAGGGTGGCGTGGGGCGGCGGCTCTGGGACAAACGACCTGAGGAGTCTGCAGACCCCAGCCCGGGGCGGAGGCGTCGTGAGAGAAGCTGCTGAGCCCTCCAAGTCGCCCTTTCCCTCTTGCCTCCCCAGCCCAGTTCATCCTGATCCTCTCCTCACCAGCCCAGGTCTCCCCAAGTCAGGGTCCGAAGAGGAGCAGGAAGGGAGTTCCGGGACACAGGACCCGGCTTCTCTGGGTATCTTGGATCCAGGGAGGATCCTGGAGATCTCCCACTTTATGAAGCTCATCCTCCACTCACTCTGATGGCTTTTCTAGAACCCCGGACCCAATGGAAACCAGATAGGACGCCGTCCTCAGTCCTGGGGGAAAATCAAGAGCAAAGGGTGAGAGGTGGCCATGGGGTCAGGGAAACTCCTGCAGAATTCTCAGGAGAGGGAAATCTTCAGAGCTGCGACTGGCTTAGTTTGTCTTACCCGCCAGCCACCTGTCCTAGAGCTGGAGATGCTTAAGTTTAAACCAGAGACTTTGGATATTTTTCCTGAATGACATAATCCTTGTCTTTCTCTCCTGGAATCGTGGGTCCAGACCACCACAGTGATCCAGTCGGCCCACTCTCCTTCTCTCACTCCCGTCTCTCTCCCTGAGCTGGACTCTCCGCCCACCCTCACATTCTGGAAAAGTGCAGTGGTGTGAGCATGGCCCTGGGGCAGGATTGTCTGGGTGCAAACCCAGCTCCATCCCTACTTGTGTGTCATCTTCATTCCTATGGCATTAACTATAAAAGGGAAAACTAACAGGCACAAGCCATAGATGTGTAGTCAGAATAAAATGAATTGGCATTTTTTAAAGTGCTAAGACCACTATTTGACACATAGCACAATAAAAGTGTAAAATGTTATCATTCTTGTCATTTCTTTAGGCACTTTTTCTTGAGCTCTTCCTCTTCTCTTTGGGTTCCCATGAAAATTTACCCTGTCGGAAGCTGATGTCAGCAAGAGACCTCCTCTTGGGAAATGCTGGCTCAGGGTAGGGCCTCCCTTTTAGTAAAGGGAAAAACTGATGGTGGACCTGTAGCTAGTGAGTCAGAGTCCATTTTATTTAATCAAGGTCACCTACCTAGAATTAACTCCATTTTGATAAGGACATGCATCTCACAGATAGGCCCAATGTAATTTATGAGGAGATTGCTTTGATTTATTTGTGTAGAACTTACTCTAGTGCCTTTCACAGAGTCTTGCAACACATTTCAAATCCCTGGGTCTCATTTCACACTATCTGCCTCATAGAGTGAAGATGATGAGAAGTGTCTTCATACTATATATTCACTCGTTTGTCTGTCAGAGTCACAGTCATATATTACATATGCAGATATTTTTCCTAGAAGTTTGAGTTTATTGATATATATTTTAATCTGGAATAGATAGATATTATCTAACATTTTTGTTTTTACTATCTCTAAGTTACACATGTTTAAGTAGTCACTACTGATACCTATGCATTATCTCTCTTGGCACGTGACAATGACATAAAAATTGTACATTCTACTTTAGTTTTCAGCAATTATTAATTATGTAGTTTGGATCATCCCTCCCATTGAGTACTACTGGGCAAGTGGGAAAAGAGTACATATTTGAAAAATCTGATGGAAAGTATGGAGGGGCTAACCAAGCAGTAAAGATGTGCCAGGCTGGGAACCAGCAGAAGGCAGAAATCTAGAAGAGCAAGTTGAGCTGCGGGGCCGCTTTTGTCTTGGGTGATGTTGGCTGCTCTGGGCAGTGTCTGAGACCTTCGAGGGCTAGGTGGATAAAGGCTACATCTAAAGGCTGCAGGGTGTATTTGTGGCACTGTAAATCCCTGGGTTTAGGATGGGTCCCAAAGGACTGACGCATAAGAGCAACACAGTGAGTTCTCAGGAGTTGAAGCTCAACTTTTGTTTGGGTGAGCCAGCAGTTTTCACTGCTGTTACTGAAAATTGTAATTGAGGATCTTCCCAGTGTTGTAAAGAAGAAAAGAAATACACACAAAAAGGTTTGAAAAAAAGGCACAGAACTCTTATAATTTGCAAATGGTAATATGCTGAATGCAGAAAATACAAATGATTAGAACACGCTTGAAGCTAATAAGATATTTTTGCATGGTAGGTAGAAGAAATTATAGAGCTGTTTTGCACAGATAGAAAATGAAAATTTTTTAAAAATTGATACAGCAAAAGTGCATACATATAAACTTCTAAAACTAAACCTAACAAATTCTATACAAGATATCAATTGGGATATTTAAAAAACTCTACTGAGTAATAATAGAAGACAGTAATTAAAGAAGACAATGAATTAACTGAATCAATTTACCAAGATCCTGGTTTGGATGATTCAATATAATAATGACATTAATGGCCGGGCGCTGTAGCTCACGTCTGTAATCCCAGCACTTTGGGAGGCTGAGGCAGGTGGATCACGAGGTCAGGAGATCGAGACCATCCTGGCTAACATGGTAAAACCCCGTCTCTACTAAAAATACAAAAAATTAGCCGCGCGTTGTGGTGGGCGCCTATAGTCCCAGCGCTCTGGAGGCTGAGGTAGGAGAATGGCGTGAACCCAGGAGGCAGAGGTTGCAGTGAGATGAGATCGTGCTACTGCACTCCAGCCTGGGCGACAGAGCGAGACTCTATCACAAAAAAAAAAAAAAAAAAAAAAAAAAGGACATTAGTTTCCTACGGTGCTCTAAGAACTCAAATACATCTTAATCAAATATTTATCAAGCATTTTTGTGACACATTGCCAATTTTAAGCCTTATATCAAAATATGAAAGACAAAAAGTAACTGTGACACTCTAAATAAGAATAATATGCAGAGAGAATTTCCTTAGCAGATATTAAGACTTATATTAGAGTTTTTAATTGAGAGAGTCGGGATGTTGAGAGAGTCGGGATGTTGAGACAGGGGTAGTAAACTACAACTTTGGAACAGAATAGAAAGCCCTGAACGTATGTATGGCAGAGGCAACATTACAGATCGGTGGGTAAAGGAAAACAATTTAGAAAATAATTTAAGAACAATGGGTTATCTATATGGAAAAATGCAATTGTACTTATCTCTTGTAAAAAAAAAAGTGCTATTGTACTCATCTCTTTAATATAGTAGAGTATCTTCACTACATTTAGTGTAGGGAAAGATTTTTATACAGGTTACAACAAAGTATTAACCCCAGGGTAAACTTTGACAGGATTAAAGACATTAAAGTTGAGCTCCCAGATTATTTGGGGTTTTCCATTCCCCAGGGGACAGCGATAAATGACTAAATGTTCCCCTGGGAAAGGCCTGTAAAAAGAATGTATCTTGGAGTGAATTATAGGGTCTTTCTCAAAGGCACCAGCCTTCTGCTTATTTGAGGGGCTCTGACATATCAACTGGCTTTGGTGTAGCTACTGGATAAGAATTTCTGAATATCCAGGACTCGAGGTTGGTGACTGTTCAGGAGACCTAGCACTTTTTATACCTGTATGTGTCATGTGGCACCTTACTGCCTTGGTGAGGGGGCATCCTCTCAGCCCTTCAGGGAGATGTGATTAGGAGATGTTAAGTAGGTTGCACATAATGGATACATTCCCACTTTTCCGTCTCTCTGAGCGGTGTTCAGACACTTTCCTCTGCAGTATGCCTGTGATAGGGATTCTGTTGACATAGGCTAGTCTTTTTCACCAATTGTTGCATATAGCAAAATCTGGAGAGATGATTTCTTTTAATAAACTCAAGGCTCTAGCCTGTTATATTAGAATAATATCTGGGCCTGTGTAGTTTTGCTATAATTCCCAGATGATTTAGATACATACGAAATATTGAGAACCACTGCTTTGAGCCACTAGTTTTTAACTTGTCTGCTGATTGGAGTCAAACCTGGAGAGTTTTCGAAACAATACTGTTTCCAGGATCCTACTTTTGATGAATTAGATTCAATTGGTTTTATGTGCTAATCTAGACCTGGGGCTATTTAAAATCTCCCATGTGATTAAAAGTGTAGTCAAATTTGAGAAACATTGTGCTAGGCCACAGTTGAGTTCGGGTTTTAATTAGCTATCCCGGCTGACTATTAGCATCACTCTGAGGTTTTCAAAATAACACATTTAATCTAAGATACTGGGTGAAGATCCCATATTAATGAATCCAGGTCAATCATGTCTCATTTCTCCCTGTGTCAATACTGAAAGTCATAGGGAGAAATCCCTCCAACCAGTGCTCCTCTTCACTCTCTCTATGATGATGCTCCCATTTAGCTGATCCCAAATAAAAGCCAGACAGCAAGGTTGCCTTTTGTGGTCCAGTAAGCCATGCAGCACAGTGTCCAGGGCACAGAGCAGGGAGAGTATATGGAGCGTGGATCAGGAGGGCACAGAGAAGATGCCAGCAGACCTGCCCTCTCCATTGAACTCAAAATACAATGGATTTCCTAGCTAGTGCAATCAGGCAAGAGAATGTATAAACTACATGAATTAATAAAAGCTTTAAGCAAAGTCATTGAATTAAAACTATAAAAAATTATTTATATTTATACATACCACAACCGACACTGAAATTCAACAAAGAGATACTGTGAATTAGCACAATATTTCAAGATCTTTGGAATAAATCTACTAAAAGACGCACAAGTAAAAACAGCAATACTTTATTTAAGAGTATTTAATAAATAAACATTCCATGTTCATGAATTATAAGTCTCAATGTGGCAAAACTTGTCAGTACTCTCCAAATCTGATTACTGAATGAAATCTCTATTAAAAATAGAATTTTTAAAGGTACTTGGAAAGGTGCTTGTCAAGCTAGGAAAGTTGCCAATGATAGAAAAAACACTCTTGAAGTGAAAAC